GAAAGAGTTTGCAACATAATAATTATGTACAGCTTTTATATATATAAATGTAGGTAAATGTGTATGTATATGTATTTGGATATGGATACGAGTACAACATATATGTACACCTATATGTATGCATATGCATATATATATGCATATATAACACCTCTTGTATCTCCTATTTTAAGGTTCTGCCACCATCCATCCCTCTTACCTGGTAATCTGCTATGTCAGTCCTGCAGCTGACATTCTGCTCACTCGCGGGTCCCACTCCTGAACGGCCAGCCAAGTCCCCCTAAATACTTTGCATCACAGGGCGTACATGTTGATTCTCCTATCCTGGATGCTATTTGTCCTGCAGCTGGTTATATTAGTAGGTTCCCTTCAATGACCCATTAATTTTCTCTCTCTTGTAGAACTGCTTTAGATTTCTGTTACTGCTCATGGCTATTCAGAGTGTTATTACATGCATATAATTGTGTTCACCTTCTCTTTCTCTTTTGAATAGCTGAGAGAGAAAAAGTGCTCTGCAGTAATGTGTTACTATTTGCATTTGGGAACCACCTGGGACTGGTGCATAAATACATGTTAAGGGCAGGATAGCAACTAGAGAAACTTGTTGCCCCATGTTGCAGTCACAATGCACTCACATTAAACTGGTGAATCATTAGCCTTGGTGATGCATATTAGAGTTGCAGAGCAGAACAAATGGATTCATGAACATAATGTATTCTTCCAAGGCAGCTAAAACCCATTTAACATTCTCTAATTATAAAAGTAGTGGTGCAATACAAGCATGCCTTAGCATGTGCTTCTTTATCTATCTATCTATCTATCTATCTATCTATCTATCTATCTATCTATCTACCTATTTATCTATCTAAATTGATCTGCTGCTCGAAGAAGGTTTCTGAGATCTGGTGGACAAATAAGAAACATGGAAATGAGCTATTGGCTTTGTATTTACATGGGATTTACCAATATTCCTTTTGTCTGTTTCTCCTAAAATTCTTTTGTGTATTATAGGAGTTTTAGAAGAAAAGACCCATCAGAACTGTAAAATAGCCTTTCTTGTATGTATGAGTTTTAAAACTGGTGGGATTCAATGTGGGAAAGAAGTGAAAATTACCAGTGTTTTTCAGGGACCTTTTATTATCAGTGTGATAATTCAATAGATCAGATTATCACTTAATTTCTAACTGAAATTCAGTCTCATCATCAACTGGATCAAACTGGAAAAATACCAGAAAAAGCGAAAAAAAAAAAAATTCTCTAAAGAAAAAGCAGCAGTATGACATGAAAGAGCAACCCCCTCCAAAAGCATATAATAAGTCATTCCTTCTGAAACATATTGATCATTCTTTTTCTATTGCTATGGCATGGCCATTAATACTGTGTTTCCAGTAATCCACCGATGGCCCTGCTAGCCTATCATCCAATAATGATTTAAATTTCTCCATGTTCCCCTGGCACTTTGCCTTAATTATATCAAAATTTTATTTTTCTTTGTTTGTTATATTGAAGTGTTATACTGAAGTGACTTTCCTCTTTCATATTTCCCCCTTGCCATCTTTCAAAAGGTTTTAAAAATGTGATCAGACTTTTACAGAACTACTAAAAGAAACAAAAATATCCCGTCATTGCTTTTCTCTGTTCTTTGTGATTGTTTAAAATTTAAGGGTCTGTTCCATAGTAAGCTATAGGATTGTAACATATCCTTCCTTGGATGCCAGAGAAAGTAGGTTGTGGTATGAACAGAAAATACTTCTGTCCTCTCTGCTTCCCTGTTTTGGTTGTATCCAGGGTTACGTGTCAAGCCTGTCCTAACTTTTATTTCCTAGGTAGCATAAACCTAACTGGGAGTATAGCTTCTTAATGAGCTGAAAAAATGGTGGTGTACTGCTCTTGGAAGTTGTTGAGAAATTGCTGCTTGTTCCCTGTTACTCTTCAAAGGAGTATTCCACTAGAGCCAGCTTGATTAGTCATACCAAATACATCCCCTTGGGCATTTGGAAATGTAAAATATGGGGATGCATTTGGGGCTCACCAGGATGCCTGATACTTTTATGAATGTAGTAAGACTTTATCAAAGCTTTGATGTATTTTATACTGGATGATGATAATTCAAAAGGGCTCCGTTGCTTGTAAAGCAAAACTAGATCATTATTGAATAAGCTGCACATGAAGAAGCAGAACACTTCCCTCCTACATTTTATGCTCCTTCCACCAGGGACATAAGGGTTGTTACCTCTCCTTGACAGAAAACGTGACAGAGGGTTCAAAAGCAACAGCTCATTGGAGAAAGGGTAAGGCACTCCTGTAAATTAACATATATTGGTCTGTATGTATCTGCCCAGATGCTGGAGTCTAAGTCATTGCGCTCAATTTTTCCACTGCAAGATAAAAGTCTGGGGGTACCTTCTGCCCTGTACCCAGAGAGCTTTGTTCTCCAGCAGTCTGGGTTGGCAGAGGTTGGGAAAGCCCCTGGTGAGATGCGGTGCTGCCGGGGGTAGTATTCTGTTTTACCTGGTGCTCATCCTTGTTCCCCAGCTACCAGCAGGTGAGACCAGCAGTTCCTGGACTGTGTGCAGTAGAGCCATATGAAATAACACTGAAAGTTCAGGACTCGTTCCTGTCATTTTGCCAGCAGACGTAGATGTACCAGGAAGCATAAGGCCAGGTGAGTTTCTCCATCTTATTCCTGGTGCTCAGAGTTTGAGAGAGCATGGTGCAGGCACTCAAGCTAACAGGTGACCTCTCCTTGGATACAGTAGTGATGTATAGCAGAAAATGAAATTTTCTACCAAGCTGAGTCCTGTTTCACAATATAACCAGCCCATTGTCTTTAGACTGTGCAAGTCCAGTTACTTTATATAAACTATGCAGGCCGTACTAACAACTATGCCCTTGAAGAGGAGCTAAAAGACTTATAAAAGGAGAATATCCTCCCCTGGAAGGCACTGAAAGCTGGATCATTGCCCGAGGAGGATGAAGTCAGCAAGAACCTGCAGAAGCTGGGGGAAAGGTAAATAAATGTAGCAGGGGGAGATCATGACCACTGACTCAATTAGAGGCTGAACAGACTTACTTCTCCCTGTATTAGAGCATGTGCTCTGAATTTTTTGTGTACTGTACTCTTAAAAGGTAAGACAGAGAAGTTTGAGCTGATCATGAAGTAGAACAGTAATGCATATGTATAGTGGGTAGAACAAGCTCATCAATTATGTATAAATGTGCGAAGTTTTGCACACTCAGTGTGCTAGCTTTGTGGAATACCTCCTAAGACCCATATCTGTGCAAATATGAAATAAATAAAATACCTCGATTCCATGTGGATACTGGTGTCTGCACACAGGTACATGACTCTGCTTTTGGACAAGAGCGGCAGCCCTAGTGCAATGGGATGCTGCTGGACTCTGTTAATGACTTTTGCCAAAAGGCAGGGATTATCATGTGTGACTTTGCCTGGACTGCTCCCAGGCCAGAGCTAGTCCAGGAGCATGGCATCATACTCTGGTAAATTAATTTTCTACCCAGACTCCCCATTAGTTCATCAGATTTTTTTGACTCATTCCCTTTTACAGTGCAGACATACTTGGAATGGCAGCTGGCAAACCTAGATTCATTTCTTTGTGTCCTAGGAATGGGCCATGGCCGTGACAAGTCTACATGCTACTCCATCAGGACAAGCATGATGTGCTTACAACCAACAAGCAAAGGAGATCCATATGTTTCTCACTTCATTTTACCTCCTGTCCTCCTGTGCCACTTGAGAGATTGAGGAGCCATTCTGGCTGAATTTACTGAATATTAATCACTGTAAAATAAAGGCAGGAAACAATCCCCTCTGATGCTGAATACTTCAAGGAATTGTTTAGACCTAATCCAAAATTATTGTCATTTCCTTTTCACCTCTCTCCTTCCTTCATTTTCTTTCTACAGAAAGGATGTACCCCCAAATTGAGTAACTCTGTGCTTCTGTTCCAGGAACTGAGAACTGTGAGATTTCCGTGCCCCATTGCACTTTTGCACACACAGGAATGGGACTGTGCTGCGTGTAACCAACCCCCAACATCACTGTGTCATGAAATCCTTCAGTATGAGCCAAAAAAACCCTCTGACTTCCACATGAATCACTCTGTTAGCTCCCAATGACACTGACTGTTCATTTGATCTGAGCCAGAACCTTATCCCTGTTTCTCCTGTGGGAGCAACCAAACTTTTGAATTCTCCTGTAACCTTGCCAGAAATGACAAGTGAAGAAGTGACATATGCAGACCTGAGGTTCATGAGACTGAAAAAATCCCAGGACCAGGAGCTCCCAACTGCCAGAGTGAAAGGTAATGGTGGTGCTGGGG